CCCCCCCCCCCCCCCCCTCTCTCTCTCTCCCCCCCACCACTTCTCAAGATGCTCCATGTCTCTTAGACTTAACGGTCTGGAGAAGACCAAAAATGATCACAGTTGATGGTATTTTTCTGTAGGTAATACCTACAGAAATTAGTAGGTACTAATTCTGAGCACTCACTGGCAGTGGGGACCATCTTTGGTTCTTCCTCTGGATTCATGACACTGTAAGTTTGCTGTACGTGAAACCCTGCCACTGGAGCTAAAGCTTTAAGATAGATGAAGATCATATGACATATACATGTTGGATGTAACCCAGCATCACGGGCCAACACCATGCACTTGAGGCCTGGAGTCTTTGCTGTTTATGACCTGCGTAGCCTTGGGCTGACTTCATTCTACAGATGAAGAAACTTAGCAGGTTGATATCTAAAACGTTCCTTTCTACTCTGAAACTCTGTACTTCTAACTACTTTTCAAATCATTTAAAGAAAGAAGGTGAAGTTTTAATAAAAGTAGATCCAAACCAAAACTCTCCTGGGCTGTAGTACAGTTCTGGCAGGCACAGAAAACAGGCACAGGCACAAAGCCTGGACTAAAGAGCTGTGTTGCAACCCTGAGTTGTCAAATGGGTTTCCTCTGGACAAAGATAGGATTGTGGAAAGTCACTCGTAATTTACCAGGCCAAGGTTTCAACTGCTTCTAAGAGACCCCGAAAGAAGGTCAAGTGTGTGCAGGGAACATACTCCCCTGCTTTGCTGCTCATCTGGAGAGCAAGCTGAGTACCTTCCCTGTTCCTGTAGGATGCTCTGGGCAGGTGGTGCTGCCTTGAAACACCACCTCCTCCTTCTACACTATCAAACTTCGCCAGTATTTCATGTTGTCCTCTTTTTGCCTTCCCAGGTTTCTCTCTTACTCTCCTTTTGTAGGACAGTGGAAAGAACATGAGTTATAGGCTCAGAGAGACCTGCGTTCCAATCCCAGCTCTTCCACTTACCGCTGGGATAACTCTGGGCAAGTTCGTTAACTATGATGGGCCTCCGTCTCTCCATCTGTAAGATGGGAATCAGGATAGCTACTTCATGGGGATTCTTAGGGAGAGCCAATGAAAGTGTATGTCAATCCCCCAGCCTCTTGCAGACAGAGCTGGTGCCTGGTTTTATTTGTTTCCTTTCCCACTTCGCTACTCCTTCCTGGAGCCAAACCTCTCCCTCCCGAAGTACTGCATTTCCCCAGCTCCCCGCTCCTGCCGTTCTCTTCACCAGGCCCACCCCTTTCACATCATCTCTACATGTTCAAATCCCATTCAGCCTCCATAACTCAACTCAAAGACCACTTCTCCTAGGAAGTTCCCCTTGACCCCCTTCCCTCATCTGAACTTCCTTGATCTTTATGATCCATAACCTGTGATACATATCTCTATCATTCTATAATTATTTACCTGTCTTTTCTTCCTTACTATACCTGGGTACTTAGCAAATATTTGATCAACGAACAAACGTGTGAGCATAGGACCAAAAGGGTAGCTTCCAACGTGCTCGCTGTACTGAAGACAATGCTTCAGTCACTGCTCTAAATGAAAACATTGTCCAGAGAAGAAAACAGCCCGACTCAGAATGTGAGATGCACTCCGTGGGGTGAGAAAAAGCATCTGCTTCTGCAGGAGCCCGAAGTTATGTGGGGAAAGCAGCAAGGGGAGGAAAAGCGACAGAAGCCTGGGGCCCGGGACAGTGGCTCCTAGCCTCAGCCCAGACACAGCGCCAACCTGCAGAGACGGGGACCATCCTGTGCGTCGAATCAGACTTTTGGGATAAAAGAAATCAGATGGAGAACGACGGATGTTTCGTGGCTGCCATGAAACATGAAAAAGGGAAGAATGAACAGTGAAATAGCCTCGATTCAGAAACACTATCAAAACCAGAAAAAAACCTTCAGGAAAACTAATCTGATAAGTGACAAGTGACATCACTTTAGTTGTGTGTGTGCGTGTGTGTGTGTGGTGTGTTTTGGGGGTCCATGTTTAAAAGCATAGTAACTTGTCTTTTTTTCTTTCTTTCTTTCTTTCTTTTTGGCTGCGCCGTGCCGCTTGCAGGATCCAGTTCTCCGACTAGGGATTGAACCTACACGCTTGGCAGTGAAAGCGCGGAGTCCTAACAACTGGATCTCCAGGGAATTCCCTAACTGGTCTTCAAGTTACAGTATGTTTACCTATGTTCCAACCCACCATCGTTCCTTTCCATTTATTCTGGCTTAAATATTCTGATATATGAAGAGTGAGAAGCCAATGAAGCCACTGAGAGATGTTCTTAAGAATCTGTTATTACAAAAGCCCCACAAATTCTTTAAGTACCAAGAACGTGGATTACTCAGTGGGGTTGCCAAAAGATTCTTAAAAACATTTTCATTTTGCTATAGTAACTGCACTGATGTGACACCCAGTAAAAGGCCTGGAAATCCTGGCTCAAGACTGTCATCTGGAGACACACCCTTAAGAGAGCACAAGATTTATTCCTTCTTCAAAAATCTAGCCTCTTTTAAATCCCACCAGCGTCAGCTGGTACCCCACTTGGGCCACATCAGAACCTCTTTCCTCGGAGGTGCATCCTCCTCCTTCTTTCTGGGTGAGTGAGCTGAGGGCTGGGCTGACCTCCCAAGTGGTAAATGTTGGCTTTAGGAGAAGAGCTTTGGAATTCTCTAGAAAGTTTCACTAAAGGAAAAAAAAGCAACAGGTCCTCTTGGCCAGAATGAGTGGAAGTATCTCACTAGCTGCTTTCATGACCTTATCCATAGAGTTCCATCAAGATGCAATCAAGAGTGTTGACTTTTAGGGCTGCCCTGGTGGCGCAGTGGTTGACAGTCCGCCTGCCGATGCAGGGGACACGGGTTCGTGCCCCGGTCCGGGAAGATCCCACATGCCGCGGAGCGGCTGGGCCCGTGAGCCATGGCCGCTGAGCCTGCGCGTCCGGAGCCTGTGCTCCGCAGCGGGAGAGGCCACAAAAGTGAGAGGCCCGCGTACCGCAAAAAAAAAAAAAAAAAAAGAGTGTTGATTTTTAAAAAAAAATCATTTTAGTAACACAATCTGCAAATTTAACCAATCCTTATAGAGAAAAGACACATTCCATTCAGTCTGGCCACGTCAGTATTCCTCTCTTCATCTCCCAAAACACTTCATCAGGGATGAAGTGAAAATGATTATTCAAGAAACTGAAGCAACACTGTAAAGACAGTGCCGACCACTAGCTACTTGGGTGGTTTTTCGGCAGCATCCACAAGCTATGCTGTGAATTTTAAATTCTTATGATAAAAGTGACAGTAAGTCACCTCTTACTGTCTTTAATGTTCTTTAACCTCTTCTTTAATGTTCTAGTATTTTATAACAACAAACTGCTTTCAAAGCATCCATGGGTCCTCAAAAATCCCAGAGTCTGGTGACTGTTCCAGTGTGCACCTGACTGACTGATAGATGGGAGGGTTAGGTACACATGCTCAAGCGGAAACTCTATGTTGAAACAGGGACCAAATCATCCTGATGTTGGTGGACAAATTCCTCTCCAGTTTGTCTGGTCTTTATTCAATTATTTTGAGAAAAAGTCATTTTCCCCTTAAAGTCTGATTACATTAACTGAATTCTAAGACAACTGCTTTTATTCAGGGTCACAGGCGAGGGACAAGTTACGCAAATGGAAAAATATCTCCATCTGATCTTACAGATGCCAGCTGAAGCAGAAAAAAAAGCAAAGGAAATAAAGCTGCTGGGCAGACCTGGGCTTTGCTGAGAATAAAGGAAAGATACTGGAAAATGAAAATAAGAGCTGTCATTCCCAGGGTGGCAGGCCAAAAACAAATGGGTCTCACTGATAATCATTTCTCTGAAGCCAAGTCACCCCTTCACAAGTGACACATTAGTGATCGGGCCACATCGATGCAGCAGCTATGCAGCTGCTGGGGATTACACACGTTGTTCCTTATGTCTGCTAATGGCAGATCAAGAAGAAATGACACCACATTCTAGAGTCTTCTAGAGTCTGGCTTTCAAAACAAATTCAGACCATTCTTTTCCCTGAGGCACCAGGTGGCCTAGTCAACCTCCAGTTTTTCCAAGGGTACCAGTAAGGTAGCTAAACTGAGGGACTGTAGACTGGGGTGCAGTCTGATTATTGCTCTGAAAAATACTTCACAGCCCAAGTGAAAAACTGGGGGCATCTGAGTAAGATACAGATTATGATCATGGCCTTGCAACTGTGTACAGCTCTTTGCTTTTTAAACAGATGAAATATTGTCACCTGGAGGTGATCTGAGAATTGAGTAAGACCAGGGGAAGGCTTTAGAAGTGAGAGATTAAAAAAAAAGGAAAGAAAGATAAAAGAAGTGAGAGATAAAGAGAATCTATCCTCTTGCCCGAGTGGTCCATGTTCTAGAGAGTTACAAAAACATTTTGATGCTACCTAAGGTTTAAGTTACAAAAACAATCAAGAATCCCTGTTTACATTGACACGTCTGGGCTCATCATGATTTTCCCCAAAGGTTTTATCTGACAAGTCATCAGCTTCTGGAGATGGAGGCCACTCGGTGAATTTGGATTTGAGAGGCCAATCAAACGTAGAAAGAGCTGAGCAATGGCCTCAGAGTTTGGGCTGGAGTGATATTACGGACAAAATACAAAAAAAGCCCGGTGATGAGGTCACCAGATGTTGGACCTAGAACTTGATGAAACATTTTTTCACATCTGTAAGGTCTGACTTTTCCCTTGAATGCTTTCCTAAGAACCTGACTTATGAGGCAAGGCTTATTTTGTCCAACACAAGCATTTGGAACAAAATCCACCATTGATTTAAGGTAGGAGGGAACCTGCTTTTTTGGCCAAATGGCCTTTCCACTTAGTCTGCTATAGAGGAAAAAAAAAAAAAAAGTTATAAAAAAGTACTTTCACCCAAACTCCAGTCCCAAAAATCAGTGACTACAAACACAGTGCCCAGCAAGTACACCTGGCATCATGGCACTATTGCCTTCCTTACCCGCAGTTTTTCCTCGGTCTTGGTGGATTGCTTACAGTCGGGATGCCAAACGGTAGAACCTGGAAAGACAATGCATGGCTAAGAATAAAGGAAATGGAAAGCAGCCAGAGTCCTGTTAGACAGAACTTCTGAGAGTGGCCCTGTGCCCAAGTGAATCATGACAGTTCAAACTCCAGGGGAGTTTTCCACATCTGGTCCGAACTTGTTCTCTAACAGTCATAATCCTAGACCACAGAGACCACTAATTGGGCACAAGAGTGTCTTAATGAAAGAGACTGTTCTTGACTGGGTGGTGGTTTTTGTTTTTGTTTTTAAACTGTATCATTATCCTTTAAAAGTAATGTCTGTGTGCTTAGCAACAGCTGCATTTAATTTCAGAAATATAAGCCATAAGCCATGCTTATATAACATCAAAACAACCAAGCAACTTAGATGAGGGCAATAAAGTCAAACCAGATCGCCTATAACCAGAAGCAAAACTCACTGAATTTTTTGCTGATCCAACAGACACAGGAGACCAATCTAACTAGCAGAAAGATTGAAAGTTACATTACAAATCCACAAGTTTTTCTTTAACTTTTAACCTTTTAATTAACTGCAAAAAGTCTTCACTTTTAAACTAATGAAGGCACTAATTCAGTGTCATCTTCTGTTCCTGGGTTAATGCCTCACTTTACAGGAGTGTAAAGCACTTTCTTAGATGGTACCAGTACCAAAGTACTAAGCAAAACACTTATATCCAATCAAAAGCTCTCTTCTTATAAGAATCAAATGTCTGCCTATATGATTTTTTTTTACGCCTAGATAGACAATCTATGTAATTTATGGCTAAGGCCTGTATGTAAGTCTTATATGTTCACATAAGGGTATGTTCAAATGTGGGAATGGGCAGAAGAACTTGAAGAGGGACTTAAAAAGACCTAAGCGAATAAAGTTACTAAGTTGAAGACTCACAGACTTAGAGAACGAACTTATGGTCACGAGGGGGAAGGGAGGTGGGGGAGGGACTGTTTGGGAGTTTGGGGTTGACGTGTCCAACACTGCTAGATTTAAAATGGACAGCCAACAAGGACCTACTGTGTAGCACAGGGAACTCTGCTCAATACTCTGTAACAACCTAATTGGGAAAAGAATTTGAAAAAGAATAGATACATGTATATGTATAACTGAATCACTTTGTTTTACACCTGAAACTAACACAACACTGTTAATCAACTACACTCCAACATAAAATAAAAAGTTAAAAAAATTTGAAAAAGTTACTAAGTGGAAAGCAGTAAGTAAATGATATAAACTTAATAAGAATCTCACTATGAATATTAGACTGTCTACATTTCATTGTTGAAATCTTTCTCTCTTCAAGCAGCAATCTGTGTGCGTACTTGAAAAGTATCAAATTAGAATAACTCTCGAATTATTTCACACCACTGAACTAAAATACTATTAAATTAATGACAGGGAAAATGCATTTTATATCAGAATAATACTTTAATCCCTATTTAGCAGTAATTTCTATCTTGCTTAACCCAGGGCCAAAAAAAAAAAAAAAAAAAAAATTAAACAAACCAAAACCAGGCAGACGCACAGTCCATTCAGCACTAGCGTTTACTCTGAGGCTGGCTACAAAGCACAGGAAATCGTCTTAACATGGAGAGCCAAGGGCCGGGGGTCAGGGCCGGGTCCAGGAGCTGCGTGTGCTGTGGAGGTTCTACTGAGCGGGCGTCCTGGCCCAGAATCCCGTGTGTGCACATGGTGTCACACTGTTCTCCAGAGGTCAGACACATAGGGAATGGGAGCCAGAGAGAACATCTGATGCTGGGGAGGATGAAACTGCTCATTCTTCAAGGACGTGCCAAGAGGGCAGGCAAAGAACACAGAAGCCCAGCTCCAGGGGAGATTTACAACAATCCCCAAATTCTGAATGTAGCCCAAACTGAGTTGTTTATTTGTAGTATGAATGTGCTGCACTCATGCACAGCCTGAAATCACCCTCTATTCAGCTTCCGGACCATGTGAACGTGCAGAGCTGCACCCAGACAGAACCCTGAGTCTCGGTTCTCAGCAGACACAGGGGTGACATGCACTCTTGGGACTTTGATTGTGGGTGCTGTAATTGACACACTCAGATCTAAAACAGAGCCTGGAGACCAACTGAAGAATAAATCTGCTCTATGCTGAAAATGTAAACTGACACCTGCCTATTGCTCTCATGGATTCACAGCCTGTCCTCAGGGGAAATGCGTCATATAAAGCACACGTGAGACCACGGATTTGGTGCTTCTCACTTGCCCTTATTGGGCCCTTTAAAATTCAGTGAGATCTTTTTTTTTTTTTTTTTGCGGTACGCGGGCCTCTCACTGTCGTGGCCTCTCCCACTGCGGAACACAGGCTCTGGACGCGCAGGCTCAGCGGCCATGGCTCACGGGCCCAGCTGCTCTGCGGCATGTGGGATCTTCCCGGACCGGGGCACGAACCCGTGTCCCCTGCATCGGCAGGCGGACTCTCAACCACTGCGCCACCAGGGAAGCCCCAGTGAGATCTTTAATCAAAATTTTTCAGAGAGATCCTTCTAAAGCTAAAAGGATGTTTGGGTTGTCAGTTTCTCATATAGCTAGCATTTTTAAGGGGAGAGTAGCCAAAGCTTTGCTCTAATACTCAAGAATCGTTTCCAGAGACTTTTCTTAGTTGCATAAAAACAAAAATTGAGACCAAAGCAAACCATTCATTAAAACTACACATTTGTAAAAAAAAAAAAAAAAAAACTACACATAGTGTTACATGCAGAGAGAGACGAAGAAATGACATGTAAAGGCCGATGAGACCCAGTATTTAGCAAAACTGAATAAGCAACAGCTCTCGTGGTTCTTGCTAATTTTACTGATAAGCCCTTGTCTATTTAATGACTCTTTTTCCCGCTAAAATTAGTAAAATGCTTGCACAGATGGTGCTGTTTGACTGGAGGAGAATCCTCCCCTAAAGCTTTCTGAGAAGCTTCAGAATTTTAGAGGAGACAAAAGCTAATCACAGCTGTACACTGAGAAATTTTCTCAAAATTATTTTCATTAAAAAAAAATAATTGAATGGCCCTCTGGTAATGAGCCCTTCCTTGACACCAGAAACTTCTCAATCTCTCTGTCAGGGACTTTGGGTGTGCTCTCTCACTCTCTGTCCCTCTCTCTTACACTATGACAGCTATGTCATCTTAATGGGATGAAGTACATCTGTGATGCAATTCACCAAATATGAGATTTTCTTCTTCCTGAAAGCCTGGATAAGAGCAGCCTGGGAGGCCCCCCAAAATCCTTCCCCCAGGACAGTGAAGTGAGAAAAGACAAAGTAGCCATCCAATGTGTAACATTTCTAGAAATGCTTTCCCTCTTTTGATCTTTTGTTTCCCAAGCATATCCCTGGGGGCTGGGTGGGAGGAGGGCGCACTGATTCTCACTCTTGCCTAACCTCCATAGCAGCAAACATCAAGTCCAATTCATTCACCCAGAAGCAACACGCTCCTCTGTTAACAGTCTCAGGGGCTCACTGCCAGGATGTCAATTGCTTGGCTGATTAATACTAACTGATGAGGTAACATTTGGCTACATTCATTCTGGATCCACGTAGCCCTGCAGCTAAAAAAAATGCCTCCTTCTCTGAAAACAAACATAGTAAGGTTTTCTTTCCCCCGGTGGGGAGAACTTACTGGATTCTTGAGTCCACCTTACCTTGAAGATACATTTCCTCTCCTTCTGTGAACATCTGGTTGCATCTGCTGCATCGTGCACAGCTAGGGTGGTAATGTTTGTCACCTGCCTGCAAGAGGAGAGGTAGGAAATATTTTAGTCTATTACTTGGTCACTGCTCCCAGCCTCTTTTCTGGATGTGGGAATTTGGAGGAAAAGAAGCTAAGGCAGGAAAAATAATTGTCCAATTGACCAAACTTCCTATACCAACAGCCCTAAGAAGCTGGAGCTGAACCCACTGGATCTGGGAGGGGTTCAAAGACCAGCTACTTGTGCCTGCTATGTGAGGCTGCCTTGCCTCTTGGGGTTTCTGGCATCCAGTTGTCTCTCAGCTTGGGCTCTCCTGGACGGTTGCCAGTTATACAGCACGTGCCTGAGATGAGTCCACGCCATCTCCCAAACAAGCCCACCTCAAAAACATTAACATCCAAATTGATGTTGGAGGCCAGTGTTGGTTTGCACTAAAGCAATAAAAAGAAAGGATCCTATTTAGCAGGTTCTTGCTTTCCTAGCTAAACAGTCTGAAAATAATATAATCTACCCAGCTTACATCAAGATGAGAAAAACCATAGTAAAAGACTCATATGCTGCTTTTTATCTTGGAAGGAGCCCCAAGTCTCTTCTCTGCTGCTTATAACAAAAGTCTCATTTTAATTGTTTTCTGAAGAAGGCATTTTACTGAGGTGGCTCTGCATTATTCCTGGGCATTTCACATTCTTAAATATCACAGATGCCACCACAGTGGGTGTTGACTTCCCCAAAGCAAAGTGTCACTGGACACAGGGACAAATCTGTAGACAGGTGCCAAGTCCCTTTAGAGTCATGCTCCAAATGCATATGCCCAACATAGCAAAATCCTTTCGTCCACATCTTAGCAAAAAGTCTCGCCACCCAAAACTTATCATATGTACTCTGCAATTAAATCATTTCATCAATCGACCATAAAAACATTTCTTTTGCATTAACTGTGCACAAGGCACTGCTGAGAGCCCAGAGTTAGAAGTGACTTCACCCTGTGCCTGCGTGAAATCTCAACAGGAAATCAGAGGCCAGGTAGTGATTCCTTTCTCACACCCTCCTGTAGAAACTATGAAACCAATTAGCTACTAGAGTGTGAGATGGTGGTCAGCTACTCAAGATAACCCAGTGGGGAAAAAAATGGAAGTTATTTACAAGTAGAAGCCAGGAATGAAACCTTTTCAGTGGTGCCTGCCAGAAAGTTCCAGAAGTGGAATTTTGCTCTTATCCACACAGCATTATTTATTTATTTATTTCGGCAGGGGGTGGGAGGGGGGATGGGGGGGCATGTGAGGGGAGTATAGGAAACGTTCACACAAAGTAGCCCTTTCTCTTCGGCCATCCAGGGTCCAATGCTGGGAGGTCCCAGGCATTTGGATAATCTCTGAGTTCTCAAGGAAAATGTAGGGGACAGAATTAAGGCCCCTTGACGGGAATCTGGTGTAGTCTGCAGTGAAAAGCACACGCCCTCAGTAAGCTAGAAATAGAAATTTCTTCAAGCTGATAAAGTGTATCTACCATATTTAGTGGTGCAGTATTAGAAGCGTTCTAATTAAAGATAAGAACAAGGCAGAGGTGTACACTTTCGCCAGCGTTTTTCTTTAGTCCTAGCCTATGTGATAGATCAAGAAAAGAAATCAGTATAAAGGTCACTAATAAAAGAGTTCAGTCAAGTAGCTAGATAAAAAATTAATATATAAAAACCAATAGTTTTCCTATTCACTAGTAATACAAATTAAGTCCAGGTGATGGGAAAACAGGTCCCTATTTGTAATAGCAATGAATAAACCCTTCGATGAAAGATCTACATAAGGATCTTAACTGATGGACATGAAAGAAATAGAGACATATGGTACTTGCGGATGGGAAAACTAAATATAGTAAAGATGCCAAATTATCCAGAATGAACCTATTAATGCAATATATTCTCAGTCAAAATACACACAGGAGTTTCTTTTATAGAACTTGACAGGCTGATTTTAAAAGTTCACATGGAAGAAAAAAATGCACAAAAATATAAAAACTGCTTTGGAAAAGAGAGTGGCAGTGAAGGGGGTTTTTCCCTTACCCGAATAAAAAGTTATTCTAAGGCTAAAATAATTAAAGTGTTCTAATACTGGTGCAGGGATAGAAGATAAATCAGCGGGACAGAAGAGAGGAAACAGGTGCACAGCCATACATACAACAAGAGAATTATGATAAAGGTGGTGTTTCAAATGAGTTGAAAGAAATGGGTTATTCAATTAATGGTGAGAACAATGAGTTTTTCACTTAGAGAAAGTTAAATCTAGATTCCTAACTCACAACCTACACAAAAACAAATTCTAGAGAGGTACAAAGTTAAAAGTTGAAACGAAATCATAGAAATATTCGAAGAATATGTAGGAGACTGTTTTAACAAACTTGGGAAGGCTTTCCTAAGCAAGGCAAAGCCTAGAAACAATAAATATAAATATTGACTGTGTACGTGTGCCTGCACACATGCACACACAATCTCTAGACATAAAACAAAGTTACAGACAGGGATACAATACCTGTCATGCATTTCAGAGAAAAGATTATTATCCAGAATTTATAAAGAGCATCTACAATGAAAAATAAATGGCAATATGGGCAAAAGGCAATTTCCAGAGGAAAGGTAGATAACCCCCCAAATAATTAGCTCAACCCCACCGGGAATCAGAGAAACACAATTTAGAAAAAGGGTGTTTTTCTTCAACAAATTGGCAAAGATAAGAAGAAGGCTAATGTGAGGAAACAGGCATTCTCACACTGTTGGTGAGCAAAATTCTTTTTGGAAAGCAATATTTATTGAAATTTAATGTATACGTACATACTACTCCCTGATGAACGATTCCACTTGTAAAAGCCATTCTACAGAAATTCTCACACATGTGCCCCAAAGTGTATGTATTAAGGATATTCAGTTTTGAATTACTTATAACAGCAAAGAACAAGGAAACAGAAGCAACCTAAATAAGAAAGTAGTGAAATAAAATATCGACTCATGTAGCCATTAAAAGAAAGAAGTAAACATATATGTATTTATACGGGAAGAGTTCAAACAAACACTACTAAGAGAAAAAAATCAAGTGGAAAAATAATGCCTGTGATATGGCCACATATAGTAGTGGTCAAAAGTGTGGAGTTACTGGGGTAAGTGTGACTGGATTCAAATCCAGTTTCAGCACCATGTGGTCCCGTAAAGGTGACAATCTCCCTAACCTTCACTTCCACAGCTGTAAAATGGGTAGAATAATAGCACGTAACTCATGGAGCTGATGAGAGGGCTAGTATATTGCCTGCCCTCACCCCCTGCCCCCCAACATCCAGCCCTGTAAGTCAGGCACTGTTACTATTATTTATGCCGGAGAGGACACACACACACACACACATATATATATATATATGTATATTGATTTTACATGTGTGCCCTGCACGGAGAGAAGATAGGGAGAATGCACATCAGTTAGTTTTCTATGGTTCCTTGTGGGGAAAGAGGAAGGAGCAGGGTGGGAACCTAACAATTTCCTTTACATGTTTCTGTATTGCTTTGATCTTTTACAAAGATTCATTTTTGTGTTACTGTGTAATAAGGAAATAAAAGACTAAGAGGAAAAAAGTCCATTGTCTCTTGGAGTCATAACACCCAACATGATCTCGGGCAAATCACAAACTCTCGGAAGCTCTATTGCAAAGTAGAGATGATGAAGTTGATGGTGACATTAACAATAAAAGTGAACATTTTTACGAATATTCTGTGTCAGTCACTGTTCTACATACTTCACAAACATTCAGTCATTTGTTTAACAATAACCTCCTAAGGTTATTATTCCTTACTTTATAGATGAGGAAGCTGAGGCTTGGGGAGATTTAGTAAACTTGTTACTGGTCACACAGCTAGAAAGTGGGAGGGCCAGGCTGCAAACCCAGGTAGTCTGGCTCTGGAGCACATGTTCCTAACTAGTACCATAACTAATAACCCCACTGCTATATCTACCTCACAGTGATGCTAGGGTGAACGATCAAATGACATTTTGAAAATGTTGTGATGTACTGCATACGATAATAATAGGAATAACAACATAATAATCCTTTGCACAGAGGTGGTTCCAGGGCCATCCACAGAAAGGCTTGTTAGCGCGGTTTGGGATGCTGACAAAAGGCTCTCTGGATGCTGCCGCTCTTTCCCAAGGACAGGCAAAGGAGAGTAACCGTGTTACATGAGCTGTCATACAAGACGGACGGAAGATTTGTCAAGCGCTCCTGTGGCAGGGCTCTGCTCTGTAAATCGTGAGCAAAACCACTGCTGAGAAACACCGCCAGCATAACGCCAGGGGCATCGGTCTTGACCCGTGCACTTGCTTCATCCCATGATGCCGAACATGTCAAGAGATACAGTGAGCCAGAATCGAAGGGCAGTGGCACAGCCGTTTAAAAGTCTTTCTGTTTGTGCAGCAGCGCAGGCCTGGGGGGCGGGGGGCACAGGGTCATGTGCTCAGGATAGGGGAGCCCCTCCTTTGCATGTGTGAGCCACCCCGTCTCTGTTTCACTTCTTCTTAACACAGGCACCCATGATGGTTCACAGACAAGCCCTGTGCACAGGGCCAGGAAAGGTATCAGAGCCGAACACAGATGCGGTTATATGCAAACTAACCAAAAAAATTGGATGTAGCTGAATCCAAAGCATTTAAATTAGAGTCATTTTTAGAAGGAAAAGTATTTCAGATCATGAGCAAAATGAGACTAAACAGCGTCCATCTGCAAACAGATGAGGAACACACAATCCACTGTGGAGAGGAGGCTGTTGATTGCAAACTTATTTTTTTTTTTTAAGATTTAATTTTATTTATTTTTGGCTGCTTTGGGTCTTTGTTGCTGCACGCGCACTTTCTCTAGTTACGGTGAGCGGGGGGCTGGCTACTCTTTGTTGCGGTGTGCGGGCTTCTCATCGTGGTGGCTTCTCTTTGTTGCAGAGCATGGGCTCTAGGCGCGAGGCCAACTAACTTCAGTAGTTGTGGCTCGCGGGCTCTAGAGCGCAGGCTCAGTAGT